ATATGTAAGAGGCAGTTTACTCATACAATTTCCTCTAGACATTCAAAAACTTATCTGCAACTTCATGCATATAGTATTCTCTCTCCCGCTCTTTGATTTGGGATAAATTTAGGTTTGACTCGTAGATGCCAAAAGTTACCAAGGTGAGGCGGAAGTCTGATTGTCGAAGCCTGAAAAAGAAACGTGCAAAAAGCAAAAATCCATCACAACTAAGCATATTTTGATGTACCATTTTCTGGTTTGCAACACGCAAATGATAGAAAATGATTTAATAAATACCATGCATATATATATATATATGTGGTTTTACAGGTTGGTTATAATCATGACAATACTTACCAAAACAAATATATATATATATATATCACAATAAAAAATTACTAGGTTAATTGTTGACCGGTCAAACATTTGACTACTCGTTCGCTGCTTTTGAAATGAACAATCCTACCTATTGGAGAAAATAGCGGATCATTACAGTTCCAAGTAACAAACAAAGCCATAATAAGTGGATCAAAGGATAGAGTATTCATGAAAATTTAGGAAAAAATGAAAAAGAAAAAGAAAAATAAAAAATAGTAAAACAACAGAGCTAGCTTATCTGATCATACTTCATACACTCCCAATATGATCAACATGTTTCTATCAAAGATCAAACGGCTTGAATTTTCCCATCACTCTTGCCCAAAAATCATCTCTCAGTATTAACACAACCATCCTCATAATTAATCATCATTAATATCCTTTGTTGCAGTTCCAGCCACATGATATTTCTTTCAGCATACTCCTTAATTTACTCTGCATACACATAATATAGAGGGAAAAAAAATCAAAATGTAAGAAAATTGAAAAAATAAATAAAAATTAACGAAAATAAATAAATGTATAATGCCATTTACACAAATGTGAGATTTGCTCCTCTCACTGCCTCTAGTGCTACTGTTGATTCTTTCGGTGCTGTTTGATCCATCTACTCCACTTTGTTCCTCCGAAACTAAACTTTCGTATCTCCATTGCCTTTTAGTCCGATAAAACAACCGAGAAAACGATATCCGAAGCCTTGAGGAAGAAGATGACCATCTCCACCAACTCTGCCATTTGGCAAACAATTATTCTGCATGTAGATAAAGTGTGTATATATATATATGCATGAAAGTAAAAGTGATCAAATATTGTATACCTTGGGCTTGGGCCTTGAATTATTTTTGTGCCATTGTGATTGTTTGGAATTGCCATGCCTCAACTCTTGAGCATAGGCCAGGAGCTGTGCCCGGCGGTCGTAGCCGCGGGTTCTCACCGTCCGGGGCCTGGAGGAAAATGGTTTAGGCTTGATTCTCTTGATGGGATCATTTTTATGGAGTAAACGGATCGTTGTCGGTGGCTCGACGTAGACGGTGATGATGACTCCATTCATGTTCACATGCTTAATACTTCTCCTATCTGCATGAATCTCTTGCTTAATACTCATGACCATGGATGTGGTTACTGTTCTCGCAAGGATGGGATGATTATAATAGAGAGCTTTCTATTCAGTCAAGCCTTCATATTATGTTGTATTTCAGGCCTAAAGGGTTTCTATTGACTCAGCCTTCAAATTCTCTTGTATTTCAGGCCTAAACTTCTAATCTGGGCCCTGGCTCTTCCTAATCTGAGATCCAGTCTAGCCTGAGTTCAGTTTGGTTTGTGAAATGAACTTTCACGTTGCTTTGGGCTGGCCACATGATGAATTGGGCATGGCCCTATAAGATGACCCAAAGGATTTCAATAAAAGAATGAACATAATTTTTTTTTTTTTTTTTTTAAGTGATAGTGGCATCGGACCTCTTAGAGCACGCACCTTTTTAATCTATCACCAGACATACGCAATTTTTGAGAGATACTTTATTACACCGATTGTATTGATGACACGATATCACTAATTGATAAGATATAATTGATAGGGAAGTCTTTCTTATAATTTTTTCATTCCACATATACTGAACTGAAGACACCATTAATGATCCGGGTTTGGTATGATTCATATTGCTAAGAACGGGTCGGGTATGGATAACCAAGATGGAGCAAGTCCTCGCTGAATGGGCCCAGGTCCAAGAAGTCATTACGGAAGCCCATATTATGATGAAGGAAGTTGAACCCAAACAAAAAGGAAGAAGATAGGTTCAGCCCAGGAGTTGTTATAATCATCCAAGTGGTTGTAACTATCTATAAATAAATGAAAATGAGAGAAAAAAGGGGTTGAAAAATTATTGGAAGTATAAAGTTTCTCTCTCTGCAATTGAGAAAAAATTTTTGTACTTTCATGAACAATTATTAACTTCAAGTTGTATGCAAAAATAAAGAGAGATGATCACTGCATTAAATGTTGGTATATAACACATTGTAATTGATTAATTTCAACTTATAATTGAAATTAATTAAAGGGATCATCGTGATAATATTTGTTATTTATTCTATGACTAATGAGTTAACATCACATTTTAGTTGATTTGGTCCGACATTGATTAACATTATACAAAATTTTTTTTTTTTATAAAGAATGGAATTTGAAATTTGGACGATATGGATGATTTGACTATTATCCTCATTATGAGAGGCTTTCTTGAAGAGTAAGAATGTAAAATTAGAGAAAATGGATCTCTTCTCCCTTTTCTTTTCTTTTCTTTCCTTTTCGCTACATTTCTATTCGGAAACTAATGTTCAGGCACAAATCAAAGTACGATGATAACACAGTTAGTAAAATGTGGTCGGAAAATACGTGTTTGTAAATGTACACATATAATTTGTTTTTCTTGTTTAAAAATTAATGTTAAAAAATTTGCCATACAATATATATATATATATATATATATATTTATTTATTTATTTAGTTATTTATTTATTTATATAAATACGAACACAGATATGTTTGGTATAAAATTTTTTGTTTAAAATTTGACTATACATATGCTATTTTTCTTCTCTTACACCTTATATATTTTCATTTCAATAATGTAAAAGACTAAAAATAATAAGAATGTATGGAGTTTTGTGGAGAGATGGAGGATTATAGAACATTATGGAGTTGGTAGAAATTGGTATGTTGGAGAAAATTTAAGACTAAGAGTTTGTTTATGGAAAAAAAAAAAAATTATGTATATGTTTAGGCGGAGAATTCTAGTATCTAAATCTTAACCGTTAATTATAATGTATTATAGTTGTATCTTATAGAAAAGATGTTTATTAGGGGTGGCCACGGATCGGATCGGATCAGATTAGGCATAAATCCTATTCCGATCCATTCGCAACGGATTGGGAGATTTTGAATCCGCCACCAATCCATTAGCCCACGGATCGGATCGGATCGAATCTGTGAAATAACGGATCAGATCGGATCCAATCCGCGGATCTCATCCTTCATCTCCATCTCCATTTTCTTCTCCGATCTCCTCTTAGGGTTCATGTGGTTACGCAGTCTTTTTGCATGCGTCCAATCCACCGTCGGGAGTTCCCAGAAAACCTCGATAGAGCACTCACAGCAAGAAAGATTTTCCGGGGTTGGACATGTTTATATGTGCAGATCCATACAAAGAGTCACCCATGAGTGTTGTGAACATGGCCTTATCGGTGATGGCTTATGATTATCTGGCAGAGAAGCTTTCGGTGTATGTCTCAGACGATGGAGGCTCTGAGTTGACTCTCTTTGCTTTGATGGAGGCTGCTAAGTTTGGAAGACAATGGTTATGCTTATTTCAGATCCAACTACCCAAAAGATGAAGCTAATAGCTATGTAAATTATTTTTCTGATTTGTCTTTGCTCAATAAATCTGTCGGTGGTCCACTGTTCAACTCATAAATAATAAATAAATAATTATATTGTATAATATATATATATACACGGATTAGCCACGGATCGGATCGAATTTTTGACAGGCTAATCCGTAATCCGATCCGTGAATTACGGATTCACATTTTTTGAATCCACCACCGATCCGTGGGTTTAGCAATTTGATTCGATCCGTACGAATCGAATCGAATCGGATTCACAGATTCGCAGATTTTTTGCCCAGTCCTATGTTTATATATAGGTAAGAGTAACAATTATATCAACAACCTCCAAACTCCAAAAGTGATCCTGAAAATGATAGGGAGTGAGGGAGAAGAATAAGTTAGCGGCAAGTTTTGTTGGTTTTGTCAGAGACTCGGAAATGTACTTTCGAGGTACAGTAAGAGAGATAAGAAATAATGAATTTTCTTAAAGCGTGATTTATAAATTATATTTAAGATAGTCAGATAAGCAGAAAACATCAAAGTGACTGAATGTGGAGGGAGGAATGTATATAACAAACTCTACCCCCGTACAACCAAACAAAAATACTGTTTATTCATATGAAATTGAAAATATAAAATAAAAATTGTTTAAAAAAAATGAAAATATAATTTTTTTACTAATAATCATTTTTTCTTCCAATTACTATAATATGAATTAATTTTATTGCTGTACCGGTTAGTACAATTCTATTTTTCATTTTATTGCAGGTTAGTTTAAATTTTTATTTTATTATGTTTAATATGCCCGAAAATAGATTTACCAAGTCCCTCCCTGCATCCATCCTCTCTCACACATCCTCTTTCTTCAAATCTTCAAATCAATAAAATATTCTACCAAGAACTTAATTACTTGGGTGTATTTGGGAAGAAGGGGCTTGAGGTCCGTAATAACTGATCAGATTATATTGTAAAATCATTGCAAAAAGTGTAACAATCACTGAAATTAGTATCTTGTTTAAGTATGGGAACAAAATGAAATTGGACGGACATATATGGTGATGGGACCATTGGGTATGACTCAAATTCCACGATAGGAAACTAGATAGCATCTACTGTCACATTCATCAAATTCTGCTACCATTTATTGAGGATAATATTGAATAATTGAGCATAAGAATCTGTCTTTCCTTCCTTTTTGCTTTATGTCGACACAAAGAATCCCTTCCTACCTCTATTTAATGGCGGGAGTTGAGCCTATATGGAAATGCAAGTTACAACATAGTCCTAAATTACTTCACATACAATAATGGCTCAACCTGGGTCTCTCTCCGCCGAAATGGAGGCAATGAGCCATGTAATGAGCCTGGTGGAGTCGTTCAGGGCGTTCGACTCAGACAACGATGGCTCAATCACGGCTGCAGAGCTCGGTGGGATCATGGGGTCACTCGGGTACAACCCGAGTGAACAAGAAGTGAGGGCAATGATGCAGAGAGGAGACACTAACCGGGACGGGCTGCTGAGCATTGAGGAGTTCTTGGACATGAACACTAACGAACTGGAAGTTGGCTCCATCGCGACATCTCTGAGACGTGTTTTTGAAGCTCTGGATTTCGAGGACGATGATGTTGTGACAGGGGAGGAGTTACATGAAGCCATGAATGATATTGGACTGCAATTGTCTCTGGATGATTGCCAGGACATTATTGCTTCTGTGGATGGAAATGGGAATGGAACCGTTAGTTTTGAGGACTTCAAACTTGTAGTTAATGCCCTCCTCTAGATATATTATATGTAATACTTTACAATAAACAAGAGTAACCATAATTTAGACCTTATGGAGCTTTTGTCTATCAGAATATATGTGTTCGCTCTCATCAACTCAAGAATCACTACTTGTAATGCAAGCTCCTTGTAGAAATAAATATGCAAATTTCAAGGATTCTTGTTTGTCTTAAAATTTTTATCTTTCTCTAAAAGAAGAAATCGGCAACATCGATGAACATGAGTAGAAATCTAGTAATATAATCATCATGGTTGATAAGGAAATGGATCATGGACAGAAAAGAAAAACAAAAATACTACTTAGAACCAATTCTGGATATGTCGACCACTCAAGAAAGAGTGATGGGTTACACAATTATGTGAGTGATTTGGTCAAACTTATTCGGCTAAACTAACGTTACTCGACAACAAATTTAAAAGTAACTAAAGTGGTGAAAAGAGGAATAGATTAACACCGGTTTAGTTAATGTTTTTGTTTCACATTTTTTGTTTTTTAGTGTACTGTAACGAAACAAAAATAGGAATTATGTTCGACAACGCTTGTTGTCATTTGAATAGTACCGAAACGATTCTAAAATTTTGACTAAAATCAGAAGTATCAAAATGATACTTTTGCATGTTTCTACACGGTAGTTAAGCATTGTTCAATTTGTTTTTTTTTTTTTTTTCTAAAATAACTTTTTTAATTGACCATTCAAATCTTCAAACTTAGTAATACTTTTTACCGAACATAATTTTATGTTTTTAGTTCTAAAATCAGTTTCAAAATAATTTTAAATACGCTATAAAACCGAAACATTACTTCTCTCTCGAATCAAAATAATTGTGGTTATCAAAGGAATTTAAATTTGATCAGATTTTTTACCTTGAAAATTTGTGTCTATAACAAACGTTACTCAATTATTATAACACAATATATATACTCCTAATAAAATTTCCAAGCCTTGGCGTGAAGTAAGCCCAGTGGTATCTTCTAGGCTAATGTATATATATTGTCAAATGGGCATTCGGGACTTATCATCTGTAGGGGTTGCCATTTGTGTTTGTAGGTTGTGTTCGTGTCGTGTCGTGTCGTGTCAATGTAAATATATTATATTAAATAGGTAAATTTAAATTCAACCTATTTAATAATCGTTTCAAAATCTTTAATACTAACCCAACTCAATTATTAAACAGGTAAATAAATTAATCCGTTTAATGATCTGTTTATCAAAACGAGACATTTAATATTTGATTAAATCCTAAATAATAGAAAAAATTTGTCATAATTAACTCAAATATTCAAAATAAAAAGAAAATTTATAAAACATAGACAAGATTTATGTTGAAATGATTTAACCATCCATACTAATTGAATTTAAACAGGTAACATATTACATAGGTCATATTCACGATTATAACATGTTGAGTTAAATGGGTCATAAACGGATTACACGGGTTAAACTCCTTAATCCTAACCCGACACGGTTAAATAAATGGGTTAATCGTATCATCATTTTTTTGACCCAAACTCATTTATGTCAAACCCAATCCCTTTTAACCCATATCGTATTCGTGTCGTATTGTCATGCCGTAATTTGCCACCCCTAATCAACTGTGATTAGTTCCAACCGGTAAAGCGCAACTCAGCTGCATATTATACGCGTGGGCGTAGTACGTATTGTATATGCAACCAAGACGGCAGAGTTGCTCGTCACTACTTCCTCGTGCATTACCGCACTTAGCAAGACGTCACAGAGCATCAAACAGGGAGCAAGGTTTCTCTGTTACTGTGCCATATCTTATTAAAAATGTCTTAAACCAATCATCTCTCACCATCTAAATATATATATATATATATAAGAAGTTATTTTAAGAAAATCTTATTTTAAAAAATATTTCTGAACAAAATCGTCCAACGGAAACACGTCAAATTATGTTTGAGAAACCTCAATTATGATGAGCTAAGAAACAATTGACATTTAAAATGTACAAAAATCCTTTTAAAACTAATTTGCTGACTCATTCGAATTAATGGTGTGACTTGTAAATACACGATTAATTATTGGGCGTCAAGTAAAAGCACCAACCAGCTGAGAATAACCAAACCAAGCCAAACAATTAAAGGTGTCAAATGCCAATCCCACGTCAAGTGAGTGAGTGCTTAGCATATATTCTGTATGGCAGCTGAAGATATTCAATGGTCACTGACAAGTTACGTGGTTACTGGAAGCTTGCACCAGTTGAAATATATATTCTTTAATTTTTTTAATATTTAATAATAATAATAATAATAAAACAAACTTCTAATACAAATGTTGCGTTGGCTATTTTTTTCAACGCCTCAAGTGAGTGAGTGCTTAGCATATATTCTGTATGGCAGCCGAAGATATTCAATGGTCATGTATGTCATGTTATTAGTATGTTGAAGCAATAGAAATATATCATTTTATAAAATTAGTTTCATTAACTTTTAAAAATTATACTTAATTAATTATTATATTAATTTTCATTAGGCAAATATACCAATGACTTAATATACAGTGGGAGCATGGCAAAGCACTCAATATCTACCCTGGCAATACATGATAAGTGTATGTCAAGATCTTTTATATATATATATATATATATATAGTCAATTTGTCATCGCCACTGTTGACAGTGAAATTGATAATAAAGATGGACAAATGGGTGGTAGTGGGGTTGTTAGTAGTTGCACTCTTAATGCTTCTCTCTCCTACTACTACTTCAAGGAACATACCCAACAAGGAACCAGGCAAAACCATGGATGGTCGAGGCGGTGGAGGTGGAGGAGGTGGTTCCAGCCACCACGGAGAGTGGAACTTCCGGTGGGGATGCGGGTCATTGCCCGATGGAAACTGGGATTACTGGTGGGGCGTTGGTATAGGCCCCACCGGCAGTAATTGGGGGTTCGGATCAGGTTCGGGTCAAAACAGAGGAGGTGGTGGGTTTGGATTCGGATGGGGTGGATCTATTCCAGATGGTGGTGGCAGTAGTGGTGGCGGCTTTGGGTATGGTTACGGAGGAGGACGTGGTGGTGGAATGAATTTTAATGGGAGGTTTGGTATTGGTGGTGGTGTTCCAAGTTCTGGTGGGCAACCAAGGTCAAATGGGGTAACCAACATGAATACTAATGACCATGCTGGCACTAGACCTAGCAGGAATGGGTGATGGATCTTAATTTCCTGATTATAGCAGTTGATTGTGTACTGAATCTATTGATATAACTTTTCTGTACTCGATCCACCCATCATATATGGTATGTACTGCTATGTTTGTCATATATATATATATATATATATATATATATATATATATATATATATTGACAGAAAGAAATAAATAAATGAGTGTGTGTGTAGTATTGTTATATAACTTGTATTGTATTGTAATGTAGTATTGTTGTGTTTTGTCACTTTTTGTGTTTTCTTCTTGTCTTGTTTGTGGTTTGCCAGGAAAAACAAAATGCAAAGAACATTATCCATTCATCATTCTTATTGTTATCCCGTTCAAGATTCGGCCACATGCACAACATGATATTAATAGGGCAGATTTAATTATCTATCTCGTCTAAAATTATTTTAAGACATTTTGATTTTGAATCCTCATAATGATAAAATCATGTTAGAGTTGTATTCATATAAAACATGAGCGCAATAAGAGATATGAGGTCAATCTCATAATCAAATTAAGGAGCTAATGATATTAGGCTATTAGCACTTCCATGAAATATTCAGGGCTTTACTTTAATACTTAAATAAATAAAATGGTAAAGTGCGATTTTTCGACGGAAGCAAATACAGTGCGCGCGAATATGAGCCTTTGATGCGGCATGATGAAACAGTGCGGATCTGGTGCGGGCGCGCACACGGTTGTAGTGGCGCATGGAACAGTCGAATGATTAGGTGCTGCCGCGCTCACAGTAGCACATGAGCTCACCCACACAAGAAGATTTGGATCCGGCGCGTGGCCGCGCGTGCTGAAGCCCTGTTGGCCTGTTTCGACACTTGAAATTGAAACAGTCATAACTCAGTCATCTTAAATCTAAATGGAGTCGTTCTTGAGTTCAAACTCAAAGATTTTTCGCCCTCTTTCCAATGGTATCAATTTTATTCTCAAATTCCTATCCTATTAGGAGATATTTACGTCTTAGTGAGACGATGTCGGAAAATTATTTAAACCGAGATGGAGTATTTATGGGAAACCATTTATGTAGGGCTGAAAACCTTGTGTTATGATAATTGATGGGAAGAATTAATATTAATTAATAAGTTTTAAATTAATCTATTATATTATTAAATTATGTAATTTAATACATAAGTCTAATTGCTGAATGGAATGATGTTTGTTGGTATTTATGATCTATAATCCAGATCTATGGTTGTGATTGTCTAATGTATCATGATTATATATGGTACTGATGAATTGATACGTTGTCATGTAAAATATGAAAGTAATGTTTTATGTATGCATATTCAAAGCATGTGTTATATATTGTATGAATGTTGTATTTAATTATAATGTTGAATATGGTTTATTTAGAAACATGGATGAGTTATCATGGCATAAACAGATTACCAATAAATTGTAGGAACAAAATACATACATTAATAGCATGGAGGATTTGTTATTCTATAGTATGGAGAAAAACATATTTGTGAAGGCATGGACGAGTTCTCAATGCATAAATAAATTACTATTTGAATTGTATGGACATAAATATACTCTTGGAGGCATAGTAGGGTTGCTAATGATAATTTAATTATAATTAGAAAAATATTTTATTATAAGAATGATTGATTTATTATGGTTCATAAGTATTTAAATTAAATTGAGGCTTAGAAAATAAACTTCTAAAAGAGGTTAGTTTGTTCAATGTTAATTATATATAAATATATTTACATTTATATTGTTATTTATGGTTTGGGACTTGGAAAAATTATTTTTTTATTATGTATGATGTCATATATTGTAAGTACCACTTTATATTAAAGGATAAAACTTTAGTTTTGGTTAGTGATGATTTATTTATCGGTTTTCAGAGGCTTAGTAGAGGGAGTTTGCTCATGGGTTTTAACCCACCATTATTTTTTATCTTTCAAGTTCTTAGAGGTCCAAGTCTCGAGGTTGAAGATCCGCAGCTTGGAGGCTTATCTATCATCTACTCTTGTTTATTTCAAAGTAGGATATTATTATGCCATTTGACTTTAGTATTTATTTATGAATTTCTGAATAGTGGATTTTGGTTAAGGGGTCATTGAGTTACGGGATTCCCGAGTTGTAATTTTTGAAGAATTATTAATTAATGAAATTATTATTTATTAGTTTTTCTTCAGCGTTGTATTTATTCTTTATTATTTATCTTTGTATTATGTGCTTATTTAAATACTTTAATTATTTTGGTATCCCCTGATTTTTTAGTGTGAACTTGATCAACCCATGTCTCTGAGATTAAGGGGTATCACACTATTTTACTCAAATTCACCTCTTCTTCCTCTTTAAAATTCTCTCACATGATCCAAAATTATGTTTCTCCCACTCTCTCTCTCTCATTCTCTCTCTAAGTTTCTCTCTGCATCATCTTCTTTCTCTCTCTAAAATTCTTTGTAGTATTATAGTATTGCTCTGCTACATCCACAACACATATACAATGTATTCATGTGTATTATATATGCTCTGTTTTTCTACCAAAAATATCATTTACTTCTTTTGGTAATTCTTGCAACAATATCTAATGGTCCATCCGCTTCTATCTCTTTCTAGATGTTTATATACATATGCAAACATACATAGGATGTTAAAATTGAATTTCGGTGCTTCTTATCATTGATGGTCTAGAGAAGGAATGGTGTAATGATCCTAAGGGATTATATGAGAAGGCGTGTTAAAGTTGCACCAATCTTCTTTTTTGGTTTAGCTACTACAAATTAACAGAGGCATTTGTCTTGAGGGAATCATTTTATCTCTCATCCTAATGGGTTTACAAATAAGTTGACATTGACAAGAACTATAAGTCAATTATGCAACTCAAGCAATGGATTGTTCAACCCAAATTCTAATAGAGGGCAGTGTTAATCTACTGAAGCATCTCCCAGATCATGGACTCATCGTGTATGTAATACTAGGCTCGAAACAGACCTATGTTTACATCTGTATTTCAAAGTAAGAATATCAAATTTATTCATTTAATTATTTATTCTATAAAAATCTTAATAGATGATTTCACACACACACACACACACACACACACACACATATATATATATATATATATCTTACCTTCATGCATGTCTAGTCATAAAATAAAAAAAATATAAATTTAAAGAATTTTAAAAATAAATTGGAGGATTTACAATCATCAATACATATTTTTACAAACGTTTATCCATCTAAAATAAAAAACTATAATAATGAGATCACCCAAAATAATAATACTTATTTTTCCTAAAATGGGTTGGTGGGTCATGACGGGTTAACCAAGCCTATTTTGACCCAATCCATATTTGACCCGTTACAAACGGGTTGAATATGGGTCACAACCCAAATTTGACCAACCTAAACCCGACCTAACTCACACGTTTGCCACCCTTAACATATACACACCCAAATCTTCACACACACACACATACCTCCAATATCGTCCCTCATCTCAGCCACTAATTTTGGCAAAAAAACCACAAAAAACATCGTCATTTTCTTTACCAGGGTCGTCGAAATATTCCTTTTGCACGGTAAGGGAGTATGATTTGCTTGGTGTGATTTTCTCTATCCACCCATCATTTTTCCCGATTACACCATCCCTGATCAATCACACCACCCCAACACTTCCACCACCATCACCAACCATCAATATAGACATTATCTCTTTCGTTTCAGAGTCCAAACAATTCGTATTGAAACCCACAAATCCATTGCCAATTCATACTGAACCCCACAAATCCACTGCTACCAACCAATACCGCCACTGTCAATCAATCCAACAACCTTCACCCCCAAGCTCGAGAAGGATCCGGAAAAGCGCACGGTCATCACAGGGATGAACCTTGTCTCCGTCTTCGGCAACAACGTCGACACCGCGGCCAGATTCGAGGGGTTAACGACGATGGATTTCTTTGTAAGGGATTTGGTGTTAAGTTTGAAGGAGGGATTGTGGGTTTGGTGGTGGGTAAGGGTAAGGGTTTTAAAGGCTATGGGTAGGGTACGGTGGTGGTTGTTCTTCTGTTGTGGTGGTGGTGGTGGTGGTAGTTGTGCTTCTATTATGGTGGTGGTGGACCGACGATTATGGTGGTCTCTGGGTGTGGTATGGTGTTTGGGATTTACAATTTACATATACATAATATATATATATATATATATATATATATATAGAGAGAGAGAGAGGGGGTTGTTAGAGAGAGTGGTGAGGTGTAATGAGTGTATACTAAGGGTAAAAATGTCATTTAAGAGTTTTGATATTTTGCAATTTAAATCAATAAAATATTAAAGAGCAATCTTGACTTTTTATATTTTTAAAGGGTTGTTTGGATCCAATTTCTGACAAGGGGGTGTCATTATCCAAAAAAGACTCAACTTTTATATGGTTGTCTTTATTGTACCTTACCCTAATGTGAAATAAGTGAAATTAAGTCATTTTAAATAAGGGTAAAAATGTCTTTTAGAACTTCTCTGTCCTAAAACTTAACCAATTTTATATTTGAAGAGGGTTATTTGTAGTTGACGGGGTTAGTATTTTTATTTTTATTTTATTATTTATTTATTTATTATTATTATTATTATTATTTACCCTGGCAAGAAAAAAGCCACACGGTATTTACAGGCAAGAACATGAAAGCATATCACATCAGAGAAATACATTTAGTGCCAAGAACACAAAACTATCTAAACTAACACCCCCAAATGTCAAGATATCATCTTTGACAATAACTAATAATGGGATTGTTAGTACCCCCAAACTGAGCACTGCAATGTCCAGAATAATCAGATGTTGGACCCACCAAAACACATAAAAGATTGCTTATCAAATTATACCGTCTCACACACAGTCCAAAAACACTCATGACCATGGCCCACGACAAAAGCAAAAGATAACTTCTAGAGAAAATGTGCATAGCAGCAGCCATGACGTCATGGTATCCCCAGCTGAAGAAGCAGAAGCCAACCTAGTCGCCAAG